GGATGCTCCTCATGGGGAGCCCCATGTATAGAGCATTACAGTAGTCCAGGCGGGAGGTGACGAGGGCATGAGTGACTGTGCGCAAAGCGTCCCGGTCCAGAAAAGGGCGCAACTGGTAAATCAGGCGAACCTGATAAAACGCCCCCCTGGTCACGGCCGACAAATGATCTTCCAGTGTCAGCCGTGGATCCAGGAGGACCCAAGTTGCGCGCCCTCTCTGAGGGGGCCAAAGTTTCGCCCCCTATAGACAGCGATGGAATCAGCTGACTATGCCGGGGCGCCGGCAACCACAGCCACTCGGTCCATCCATCCAATCATCCATCCACCCACCCATCCAATCATCCATCCATCTCTTTCCATCCATCCATCCATCCATCCATCCATCCACTCCCTCACCCATCCATCCATCCATCCATCCACCCACCCATCCCATCCAATCATCCATCTGTCTTTTTCCATCCATCCATCCATTCGTCTTTCCATCCATCCATCCAATTATCTGTCTATCCATCCATCCAATCATCCGTCTATCCATCTCTTCCCATCCACCCATCTCTTTCCATCCATCCATCATCATGAAAACTCACCTTTCCACCGTTATCAAATTACCTCCTGATTTATTTTTGCTGCCAAGTTCTGAAGGCAACATTTTTTTCTCATCTCCCCCAGAATTTGGAGTATCTTCTATTAAATCATCTTCCAAATCAGAATCAAATCCGGACGTTAAAAATTCATCCACGCTCAAGTCACCCAGTTTTTTGCTTCTGAAAAGGCAAGATAGAAATTTATTTTTTTTAAAAAAACAAATAAACAATACCTCTTTTGATTACAGATGGTCTTGTTTAGAAAGGCCAATGCATTGTGACATAATAAATCTGGCAAATATAATGAACCCTCAATTCCAAGTTGTTAATTTCACACTAGTGACACTATTTCCAATCTTAGAGGCAAACAGAAAAGACCAATATAACAAACACACAATGAACATTTAACACACTGTTTTTCACATTATTGCTTTAATTGTATGCCACTCTTTGTCTCTGGTCTTGGACTGTAACAAATCTGAATGAATTGTATGCCAGCCAAAGTCACACCCATGAGATGGGCAGCTAGAGAGATTTAATAAGAATTAAATTATTATGAAATAATTTCATAAACACAAGAAAATCAATTAAAGGCAAAAGCGCATCAAGAGACACCCTGGATTATTTTAGAATTTATAACTTATCTATGATTATTTATAAATTATTTCTAACAATTTATTATTAGGAGCCATCGTTACCCACTTGCTTCTCCTGCGTTTTGAATCCCATTTAACTGCCAGAGCAAATAAACAAATGAAAATAACTCAAGCAAATAAACAAATAAAAACAAATGAAATAACTCAAAAGAGATTTTACACCTACGACTCTCCAACCTCTCCCCAAACTGAATTCACCAAAAGTGCTTCAAAATTCTCAGGCCCACAAATTACAACAACAGGTTTTTTAAAAATATCATTTCTGTATTTTTAAACTAGGGGCTTTCAAAACTGAACAGGAAAAGGGGAAAAAACATAGAAAACAGGCCTTTGAGCCTTCAATTTTATCAAGTGTGACTAAAAATGAAAATGTGAGGGAAAAAATCTTTCCCGTTTACCTGGAGTTATTCCCCAATATTACAAGTCTGCCAGCCTCAACGTTATATTTTAAAAATTCTAATTTATTTTTTAAGAAATTACAGTTAATTTGCCTCAGAAACTGCTGGAAAGATAAAACCTGCTCCCAATTGAGTACCACCTGTGGCCTTCTGAGTAAAATAATCCAGGTGTTGCTCATTGCTCATTACCTAACCGTTCCTGCCAAGCCAGCAAGTTAGGGTGAGATAAAATTAGGTTGAAAGGCCTTAACGTTGTACCAGGTGTCTTCAAACATGGCCCTTTGATGACCTGTGGACTTCAACTCCCAGAATTCCTCAGCCAGCGTGCCTAGCTGAGGAATTCTGGGAGTTGAAGTCCACCAGTCCTAAAAGGGCCACGTTTGAAGACCCCCCCCCGCTACATTTGAGAACATATCAAGAATTTTAAAAAGCCACCTCAGCTCAAGTCTATCCTTTCCAATTAATTAATGGGGGGTTTAATTAATTAATGGGGGGTTTAATTAATTAATGGGGGGAGGGTTTGATTAATTAATGGGGGTTTAATTAATTAATGGGGGGAGGGTTTGACTAATTCATGGGCAAAGGAAGTTTGTTTGCTCGCTGCGTTCCACGCCACGCCGGGCGTCCCCAGAGTCTGGAGTGTATTCATTCACACGAGCACGCTATATACACGCGTTGGGTCGGACGTTTAGGCTTCCCACCTGGGGGACGAGGGAACATGGCACGCCACGTGTTCCTCCAGGCCGGCACCAAACGAATGCAATGCAACGCGCTTTTTTTCGGTTTGCAAGAGTTGGGGCAGAATGCGCGTAAACCTAACCCAATTCCCTATTCTCACGAGTTTGCGGGGCTGCAGCCCCCCCCCCAAATCCCGCAAAGGCTCCTACCCCCCCCCGCCCACCCCCAACCCCCAATTCTTGCAAGGACGCCCCACTTTGCCCGGGACTCGCTTGGCTGGCTGGAGTTTGCAAAGCGCCCTGACCTTTTGGCGGCGGTGGTAGCCATGCTGGCGGAGCTTCTCCCCGCAGCTGCAACAACGTGGGAACAAGCACTTCCTCTCCCACAATGCAACAGAGTAGCGAGAAAAGGGGAAGCGCCGAGCCGAGCCGGCCGGATTGGCTTTAAGGTTCACTGGCGTGTTGCTTTCCGGCTGGAGCCGGCGCCCGCGGGCGCCCAAGCGTGAGAATAACAGACTAACGGAGCTGGAAAGGGACCGTGGAGGTCTTCTAGTCCAACCCCCTGGCCAAACAGGAGACCTATCTCATTTCATTCCATCTCTTCTTCAAAGCCTGCAGGGATGGGAGCAGCCACAATTAGTGAAGGGGAGAGGAACCGTTTGCAGCCAAGTTTTGCAAATTCGGCTTTGCTTGGCAGGGCCCCGCGTTGCCAAACCCGTGTTTGCCGCTCGTCTGAATGAATACATTGGGGATTAAACGATGGGGCAGGGTGGGAAAAGGCCGATTCCTTCCCCCACCCACCCACCCCAGGGCCTTTTGCATTCTCTCTCGCCAACTATCCCGAGCCAGCGAGTTCGCTTAACTAGGGGTTTGAGTCAAGCCGCGAAGGACCCGGGGTTGCACCTCCCGCCAGCTGTCAATCGCAACCCACCCGGGCGGGCGTTCACGTGAAACTCGCAGGTTAGGGAGTTGTGGGAAAGCGAGCTTGTCGCATGGGCTTGCAAGGATGCAACGCCCCCCCACCAAAGTTTACCCCTTGGCATTCCAGCCTTCGCGTGTGTTATCTCCGCAGATTGAAGACCCATTTTGCTTCGCAATGACATCTTTGCAATTAAATCTTTGCTTTGCAATTAAATCTTTGCAATTAAATCTTTGCATTGCAATGAGATCTTTGCAATTAAATCTTTGCAATTAAATCTTTGCAATTAAATCTTTGCATTGCAATGAGATCTTTGCAATTAAATCTTTGCATTGCAACGAAATCTTTGCAGTGAAATCTTTGCAGTGAAATACAATCTTCCTTTTCCGATCACGGCCAGGATTATCCTAAGCGATGGGAGCCTGTTCCCAAACAGGGTTTAAGCGACAGCCTCCTCCTATGCAGGGACTGACATCACGGCCGAAGCGGGGCGAGAGAGCCCCAGCCGGCCACCAGTTGCGAATTGCGGAGCGGGCGGCGACTTGACACACACAGCGATTCTCCCAACCTCCCCTGTATATTATTGCTGGGTGAACGGAGGGGAGGGGGCAGACAGAGAGAGAGAGAGAGAGAGTGAGAGACGGGGGGGTAGGCAAAAATAAAAAAAAAGCAAAAGTGATCTGTCGTTTCGGAGCAGAGAAAGCGCCGGGCGCTGTTGAGAAGGGTGCAAAGAGAGAAATTGCCCCCCCCTCCTCCCCAGGACCGTCCAGCCGAGCTGGGGAACGGATTGGATTTTTACCCGGGCGAACTTTTGCAGCCCAATCCATCAATCTGGAGAACAAAGTGCCCGCCCAGGGAGACCACCTTTGCTGCTTAGCCCTGGAGGGTCCCGCTGGGTGAGTCTTCTGCAAAAGGGGGGGGGG